ATAGGCATACACACGTATATATATGTACACACAAACACACATATACATGCAAGTATATACACATGCACCCACACACAGTTTCCTTTTTTACCAGAGTTGACTGTTGTTGGCAACTAAGTGCCCTGAACTGGCACAGCCACCTTCCTACCATCATGACTTCACAGCACCATTGGCCATCACACCACTCATTGCAGGCCCCCCATGTGCCAGGAACACAGAGCATTCAGTAAGCTCAACCATTGTGTGCTGGAAAAAATAATAAGATGTGAAATGAAATATGTTAGGTCTATTCATTGTGATTGAGTTTGTGTTATGTTTGCACTCTTGGAGAAGAAGTTCAAAGCCCAAGAATTCTTTATGCTTGGTTCTCTGAACTTGTCCTGCCCTCCCCTGCCTTCCCTGAGGGGAGGGGCTCTGGCTCACCTGCCAGAGGATGTTTCTGTTGCAGGGCCCCAAGCAGAGGGCTGCAGACAGCCTGCTTGCCTTGGCCTGCTAGCCTGGGCCCTTTGAGACAAGTATTGCCACGAGAAGAAAGCACAAGCCATGGGAGAGGAGGAGACATGCTTTTATTAGCAGTGCTCTGGGGGTGAGGGATGGGCCTGGGGGTAAGAGATGACCCTGGAGGTGAGGGGTGGGCCTTTAGGTGAGGGATGGGCCTACAAGTGAGGGATGGGCCTGGAGGTGAGGGATGGGCCTGCAGGTGAGGGATGGGCCTGGAGGTGAGGGGTGGGCCTGGAGGTGAAAGATGGGCCTGGAGGCGAGGGATGGCCTGAAGGTGAGGGGCAGGTGTGGAGGTGAGGGGTGGGCCTGCAGGTAGGGGGTGGGCTTGGAGGTGAGGGGTGGGCCGGAGGTGAGGGATGGCCTGGAGGTAAGGGGTAGATGTGGAAGTGAGGGGTGGGCCTGGAGGTGAGGGGTGGGTTTGGAAGTGAGGGGTGGGCCTGCAGGTTGGAGGGGGTGGGCCTGTAGGTAAGGGATGGGTCTGGAGGTGAGGGATGACCCTGGAGGTGAGAGATGACCCTGGAGGTGAGGCGTGGGCCTTTAGGTGAGGGATGGCCCTGGAGGTGAGGGGTGGGCCTGGAGGTGACAGATGGTCCTGGAGGTGAGGGGTGGGCCTGGAGGTGAGGGGTAGATCTGGAGGTGAGGGGTGGGCCTAGAGGTGACAGATGGTCCTGGGGGTGAGGGGTGGGCCTGGAGGTGAGCGATGGCGATGTGGCCTATCTCAGGAGGCAGGATTTTCTCTACGGGGCATCCCAGCAGAAATTCTTGAACCTGGTAGGTACAGACTCAGTGATGCTGCCCATCTTCAGGAACCTTTTGTTTTTTGTGGGCTGTAACCCACAGATATCAGCAGTGATCCCTGTAGACTTGATGCCAGATTCTGGGAATCCTACACACCCCGATACTCCAGGCCTCTGGGGATGTAAGAGATGGAAACCCACTGATAACTGAAATTGAAATTTCCAGCAGTTCAGCAGGGCAGGGGCACAAAACTGGATATATTGTAATGTGATTTAGGAAAATTTGCCATTTCTTTCACACACGAGTTTATGGACCAGGCTCAAAGCTACTAAGATGTTAACTCACAGTAGAGGGAATTCTTATTTTTGGTATATTTTGTTTATCATTGTCTTACAGAGCTTAGTACTTTCACACAGCAGGCAGTCACTAAATACTAATATATAAAGGTACAAGTAGACAATATATTGGGTGACTACTAAGAGCTAGAGACTCTATGAAAACTTCCCTTAAATTCGCCTTTTCACAACCACCCTAGAAACCTGGTCTTCTCATCTGCATTTTACTCCCCTTCCCTCCCTCCCTCCTTCCTTCCCCCTTCCTGATACCGTTCCAGCTGCCTTAGTGCAGTTATACAGGCTCATAGAAGTACCGTACTGTTGATATATATGTATTTTTAGTTTGTATGAAGGTTAGTGTGTCACATCTATTTTGCCATCCACCTGCCCAAGCGTGCATGGCCTCTAGTACCAGCTACCCCTGTCAACACTGAGCAAACACCCTCAAGTACATGGCTAGTGGCAGACATTTTTGGAACACATACCCAGGAGCGACTTGCTAGTCGCTGCGCTGTCTGTTCAGCCTCACCAAGAAGGCCTGCACCGGCCCACACTACCTACCAGCAGGCTTGACGCTGCTGCCTTCAGTTCTGTATCTGGGCCAGCACTGGTATTCCCCAGCCTACTAATATTTTCCAGTATAATTAGGTGTAAAGTGATACCTCACTGTTGTTTTAAATTGCATTTCTTGCCCTCATTTTGGGGGAAGAATTGAAACTTCAGGAAAGTAACGTGCCCAGGGACCCTCAGCCTGTGTGTGAGTAGCTGGACTTTGCCCACCCGCTCTGGGCTCAGACTGGAGTCCAGCTGGCGCCCAGCTGCCCCTCTCACGGGCTGCGCGCTCTGTCAGCAGCCGGTTCAGACTTGTGTGGGTGCAGGTCTTCCGCTGTGATGGAGCGCCATCTGGTGGGTGTAAGGAGTAACGGCCGCTGTTGAGAGGCGAGGAAGGACGGCGAGGGGAGGGGAGGAGATCGAAACCACTTCACTTTTGAGGTTCATTTTTTTAAAATGTATTTTTATTGAGATACAACTGACATATAGCATCATGTTGGTTTCAGGTGTACAGCACAATTGTTTTTCTTGTGATGAGAACTTTCAAGATCCACTCTCTTAGAAATCCCCAAATATACGTCACCCCGTTATCAGCCATAGTCTTGGTGCTGTATACTACACCGCCAGGACATTTTTATCTTATAACTGAAAGTGGGCACCCCATGGCCACCCTCACCTTCCAGCTGAAGGGAACTTGAACATCCTCACTTCGAGGCTACTATTGTTTTTAGCAAAAACAAACAAACAAACAGAAAAACAAACCCAGAACTCTGTTACAAAATCTTTTAGTATACTTTTAAAAATGTGCTTTTGAAGTACAGTATACCTGTTTAAAAGGCACACATTTCACGTGTACACTGAATTTTCGCAAGTGAACACCTGTATCAGCAGCACTCCAGGGCCCCCTCACCTCTTCCAGCCACTGCACACCTCCCTCAAGGGGCTGCCACATCCTGATTCCTAACGCTATAGATCCGTTTTGCCTGGTTGACTATTGCACACACGGGACTATCCAGCTGTTCTCTTGCCTCTTGTTACTTTTGCATGATATTGTTTGTGTGGCTCATTTATGTGTATTGTTCCTTCCTGTTTTTATACAGTATTCCATTTAAAGAATATATTTCAAGTTATTCTTTCTACTGTTGATGGATATTTGGGTTGATTCCAGTATTTGGCTATATGGGATAAAGCTGCTATCGACATTCTACTAGTCTTTTGGTGCACATATGCATACAGTTCTGTTAAGTATGTATCCAGGAAAGGAAATACTGGACCATAGGGTAGGTGTATATTCAACTTTGGTAGATTCTGCCAGTTTTTCAAAGCGGTTGTGCCAATCTACTGTCCCAATGGCTGAGAATACACTTATGGTCATTCTGCATTCTCACCTGCAACTGGTATTGTCACTCTAGCCATTCTGGTGGGTGTTAGAGGTACTGCTTTGTATTTTTAACTTGCGTTCCTGATGACTAACAAAATGTCTTATGTTTGCTGGGTCACTGGGGTAACCTCTTTTGTGAAATGCCCATATAAGACTTCTGCCCATTTTTTCATAGAGTTACCTGCCTTTTTCTTATTGATTTATAGGAGTTAAAAAATATGTCATCTGGATGTGTGCACTTTGTCAGATATCTTCTCCCACTTGGATTATTTGCCTTTTCCAGTCTCTTAATGATATCTTTGAAGTCCAAGTTCTTACTTCTAAGAATTTAATATAATTTAATTATATTAAATATTTTCTTACATTGTTGGGGCTTTTGTGTTCTGTTTATTTTTATTTTTTTGCTTACTCCAAGGTCATGGAAATTGTCTTCTATGTTTCTTCTAAAAGCTTTCACAATCTGCGCCCATCTGGAACTGATTTTTGCATATGGTGGGAGGCGAGGGTCGATGTTTTTTTCCATATGGACATTTAATTGACCAGCCTGATTTATTGAAAAGACCATCTTTTCCCCCACTGCACTGCAGTGTCACCTTTGCTATAAACCAAGGGATTGTACCTGTGTGAATCTGTTCCTGACATGTGTATCTGTTTCTGTATCTGGTGATAATGCTTTTAGAAAATACAATCAAACTGGACTAATTATGAGTTTATAAAATACCAGTGCACAGAGGGCTGCAGGTGGTGCTGTCTGCCAGTGGGCCCTGGCTTGTGGTTGCTGACAAACATGCCTTTCTCAACATTATGTGTGAGTCTTGGGGCTTATTGGGCCAGAGCGTCTGGAAGCTGAAGCGCAGGCTCCTTGTGCCTCTCTAGATCCCAAGAGAGCCCCCATGGGGCCCCTTGTTGGGTGAGGCAAGGTCCCTTCCCTGCATTCATTCCTCCTCTCTTTTCCAGTCCATGATGAGCTTCAGGGAAACATACATCTGGGATCTTCAGGAGTGTCTCTGGTCTTAGAGGTGGGGTTCCCATAGCAGTGCCCCTACTGGGGTCTGAGAGCTCCACACAGCCCCTTGAGGATGTGGAATTTGGTTCTCCACAGAACCACGTCCTGTGTGGAATAGTTGCGGGGGTTTGGGGGGCAAGATCTTGGTGTGTGTGTGTCACCAACCAGCCGCGCAACACTTTGTTCCTTCTGGAGGACCTCTGGGGGCTCTGGGGTGCCATTTCATACTCCTTCTAAGACTTCCTTTCTAAGGAGTCTTCTAGTAGGGAGAAAGTCCTGTTTCTCCTAAGTTGGTTCTGACTTGAATGACAAGGACAAATGCTACATCTGCACCATGATCCATGCAGTTTAGACTTGTTATCTAATCACTACTGTCCAAAAGGGAGGCACCAGGTCTGGAGGGCCAGGTGTGGTATGCCAGAGACAGCACCTGGTGGCTAAGAGTCCAACAGCACAGAAACATGAGGTGGCCAGGAAGGGGAGGTATTTAGAGGGCAATGTTGGGGTTTTGGCCAAATACCTTCTCAGTGTCTATCTCTTCGACCATGTGGGGATGGATGTCCACGTTCATTCCTGCATCTTTGCACAGCTTAAGCAAGGTTCGAATGTTGTTCTTGGACAACCTCAGGTATCTGTGTGAGACAAGGCCAAAGAGGTCCATTGAGGGTAGAGTCACTGTAGCTTCGAACTTTATTGAAAAGGGTTTAGATTTAAGCAGCCACCAGGATGGGACCTTTAAAAGGGGCTGGCTCTCTAGATGGTTTAGGAGCTGACAGAGATCTTGTAACAGAGTGGAACACCCCAGAGTTGGTGGGAGTTTCTATTGGTATTACTCTTCTGGAAATTAATTTGACAACATATGTGCCTAACACCGCCCTTGTCCCACCCTACCCCAAAATGTTCATTATCTTTGACTCAGTAACTCTACTCAGCCCTTCAACTAATGTAAGAGGAGGAGTAAATGGGAAGAGAAGCTATATAAATAAAAGTGTTCATTTGGAAGTCACCAACAGCAGGAATATAGGAAATTCCATCAACAGAAGAATGGTTAAGCAAATAATGGCATATCCATTTCAAGGGCTCTTCTGCTAGCATTAAAATGTCACCGGGAAAAAGGTAAATATGGCTGCGACATTATGCTATGGAAAAACCCAGGTGCAAATCGTGAAGTGTTCCTCTCCTCACTGCTATGGGTATGTGATCTGAGTGACGCCAGGGGCTTGGGGGAATGCCAGGACAGTGGAGATAAAGGCTGAACAAAGTCGTGGGAAAGGCAATTATTTTCTTTAAAATATTCAAACAGTTAAAACATTAAGCCACTCACTTAAAATACTAGCTAGAGCCCCACAGTTCTTATACTGAAGAATGGAACCGATTCTGTCTGTACTTTGGGATCTAGAGAGTATCTCTACCATCACATCCCGAGAGCTCTTCATTCCAACATCAACCCTGCTCCCAGCTTTGGTATAAGGAGGTAGGCCCCCTACTCAGGTCACCTGCTGGCTGATTATTTTGCTACAGATGGTGAGGATGAGCTGCATACTCATATAAACTGGACTTTCTACCCACTGAGAATAGCATCCCTTCTCCAAGATCTTCCCAGAGCTAACAGCCAGCTCAGAGCCACTCACCAGCCCTGCACCTGGACTACCTTTCTCTGATGGCTCCAGCCACAGTCTCCCCTTCCCTCCCAGCCGAAGAGGGTTCCACACATGTATATGTGTGGTACATGGACTCATTTAGATCCCGTTTGGACAATTTCATCCTTCCCTTGGATGTTTTTCTAATGGCTGGTTGGATGCTATCTCTCCAAGTGTTCCCCTTCCTCCTTGGTAGGGGAGGGAGTCCTTTGGGCTCCTTCCTGTCAAGATCTCTTTTCTCCCCACCAAGGATCCCAGGTAAGCGGTCTGTGGGCTGGAGTCAACTGAACCACCCCATCAAACTTAAAGACATCGCCAACGTCATCCAACTGTGGAAGCATCAGGCATGCTTGAAGCCCCTTCCGGCAGGGAGGCTGCCTCTGGCCAGTCAGCCATTCTGCCCATCTATCTGTCAGCCAGTCAGTGAGCAGAACAGGACTTCCTGATGGGGCCACTGAATGCCAGGCATCTGAGGCCATCTTTAACCTGCAGATGAGTTTTCTGCTGTCAACTCTATAAGGACAACTACATTATTCTCTTGTCCTACTTTCTCCTCTACTGAAGTTTCTGAGCCCTGTCAGTTACATCTGTACTGTAAAGGAGAACACTGGGCTAGGGAGGGATACTTGAATTTTTGGGTGGAAATCAAGCTGTTTGGTGTTCCTAAAAACCAAATGGTAAATAACACAAAGAACAAGCCAGAAGGGAGACCTTTGGCAAGAAGACCAAATGGTTTCACACTCTGTTCATGGCCCCCTTGGGAGTCTAAAGCCCCAAACACACAGCAGGTAACCACTGCGGAGGGTGGCTGCTACCTCCAGCAATTCAACCCCGTTGTGTAAAGCCTGTCAGGGGAATTTCCTGTTAAAACAAGGCCACAGACAACTCGTCCTTTCCTTTTTGAATAATATTCTTGGCTTCTAATTGTGAAACAAATGGAAATATTGGAAAGGTTGTGTAAGTGTTCAAAGGCACGGCATTACAATGGTGGCACCTAGATGTCATGTCCATCCAGGAGGTGGCCCCCTGGCTGGTGAGGCTGCTTGGAGACCCAGTAGCTTCAGTCCCAGGGCAGTCCTTTGGGACTCAAAGACAGCACAGTGATACTGCGGCTGCCCTCCTGCATCTCCAGGGTCAGCCCAGTCTGCGAACAAGAGGCTCCTAGGCGCTGAGCTCCCAGCCCTGAGCTCACCGGCACCTCAACACCTCTTCTGGCTTCGGCATGTTCACCATCTGCATCTTGGGCTCGGTGCCCTTCTCCATGAGGCTCTTCAGCTTGCGCTCGTGGCTGCTCTTTGATATCTTGCCTAACCAGTCTCTCAAGAGCGTGGACCTCCGCCGGGCAAAGGGGCTGTCCTGTAACGTGGGTTCTGTAATGCTTTGTCGCCGGTATGACGTTGGCCACTGGGTGGGCTCTAGAGTGACTGTGTCTATTTCTGAAATTTAGACAGACACCCCAGGGAGTTAGATCTTGCAACAGCTGAGAGGGAGGATTGGCAGGAAGGGGGTGAGGCCTGAAAGACTGCAATGGCTTCAAACAAACCAGTACTGAGGTATGAGGTCTTATCAAGGTTTGGGAAGGTTCTCCTTCTTCATTTGTTTAATCTTTATTCATCTTTTCCTCCCTCCTTCCTCCCTGCCTCCCCAACTCCCTCCCTTCCCTCCTTTCCTTTATCCCCTTCTCTCAATCTTGTCTCCTCGCCAGAGGAAGTTCATCTAAACAGAACTTTATCCATTTAGCCTAGAAGAGTGGGGGAAGGTATCAGAGGTCACTTTGAACTTGTTTTTTACAAGACAAATAGTTTAATGAATGAAAAAGGGAGACAAGTACTGCAGGCAGGAGGAACAGCATGAGCAGGCAGGAGGCCTGCACAAAGGCAAAAATATATGAAATTAAATGGTAAATGTCTGATGTTACAAAAATCAAATATGGGTTTTGTACTGAATGATATACTTGTTGGGGCTATAACTTGGAGACCTTAATTTTTTTCTTCTCATTAAATTTACTCGAGTATTTTGCAGATTTTTACTTATGAGAGTAGAATATTGTCCTCCCATTTCTGTTTCTAACTGGTGTGACTACTGCCAAAAAAAGGCTATTGTTTAAAAATATATGTATTTTTGCTCAGTACACCAACGACCAAACCAACTTTCATTAATTTTTGACTAGAATTTCTTGAATTTTATAGATATGCAATTATATCAGAGGAAAAATGAAATATCTGCCTTCTAATATTTATAGAAATTGTATACTCTTCTTGATATACTGCATTTGCTAGACTCTCCCCAACAAAGTCGCCAATGATGACAGCAGTCATGCCTCATTTTGTTCCTGATTTTAATTAAAATTATCCTAGCATTTCATCATTTCAAATGATATTTGCTGCTATTTTTGGTATATGTTTCCTAATTTCCAACTGTTAAATTGAGTATTTTTTATTTTAATTTTATTTCTAATTATTGCTGTAGGATAAAGTAGGTGGCTCTAAAATCTGTGCTTTTTTGAATGTTAATGCTTCCTTTGTGGTGAATGTACAGATGATTTTTGTAAATATCCTTTGGCCATATAAAAATATGTGTTCTCTATTCAAATATGAAGTTATCATTTCTAATTGCCTTTTTAGGTTCTTCTGTGTACTTCCTGTTTCTGTCTATTTGTTCTACCTACCTTGTTCTGAAAGAAGTATATTAAAATCTTCCTCTATAACTGTATTTTTATCAGCTTTTTTTTGCATTTATAAATATTTATCTACTTAGCTATTATGTTCTTTGGTGCATATAGGTTTATAGTTATTTTTATTCTTTTTAATATTTAAAAATATCCCTCTTTTACTCTAAATGTTTTTTTTAGCCTTAATCCCACATCATCCATTTGCATTTCTTGTTATTTACTTGCCTACCCCTTAATTTTCAATCTTTCTATATTACCTGGTTTTCAGTGTGTATCTAGATTTTGATTTTTAAATCAGTTATTTTCTGGTTTGGTGTCTTTGCTCTTTTCTAGAGCATTTTCTGCAGATGAAGGGATACATGGCTGAGAAAGTCCCTAAATATTTATAAATCTACAAATATCATTCATGCACCTCAACAGTAATTTATGTGTGCGTTGGGGATGGGGTATGGAGTTGTAGGTCTTTAAGATCAGTAATCTGTAGGTGCCACTTCACTTTCATGTTGATGCTAATCTGATTCTTTTTCCTTTGTAAGTAAATTGTTCTTCCCGTAAACTTGCAAGATTTCATCAATAAAGTTCAGGAATTTTACTCGGATATGTCTGGGGGAATGGGTCTAGACCTCTTGCAATCACATAAATGGAGGGACAGCAGCCTGGAGAGAGGCTGTGATTTTGTTATGGTCTTGTTATGCTATAAGGTCTTGTTATAAGTTTGTGGCTGAGTTGGGATTCTTTATGCACAGTATGGTACACTGGACTGACAGCTAATAGAGTGTTAGCATCAGGTGGCTTTAGCAGTTCCTGTTTGTACATGGTGGAAATTGGTGCTAAGTTACAGGAAAATTATGAGCTGCACATCCTTACTGACACACATGGGAAATCCCCTAGAGAAAGGTGATAGCCTTTCCTGAGATACCTGATCCTCTTCTGGTCATGATAGGTCGGAAAGGTAGGAAAGAATAGTAGTAATATAAATAGTGATGATAATTATACATATTAGCTAACATTTGTTGAATGACTTATGTACCAGGCAGTGTTCAAGTAGTTTTCTAGGAATGAGGGCACTATTGTCTCACAACCATATCATGCCCAGTTAACAAATGAGAAAGTTGAGGGTCAGAGAGTTTAAGTCATGTGCCCAAAATACTAAAGATAATTAGTGGTGGATCCAGGAAAATATGCCCTCAGTTATCAGTGCCTTTTTTTGGGCTCCTGTATCCTCTGGACATAAACGATCCATATCCTTGAGTGTGTGGCTAAACAGATAAGCTATGTTTCTAGTGGGCCATGTTTGGGATTCCAGGGGTTGACTCAGGACTCATCGAGACAGAGGGCAGTATTGCTCCCCAGCCTTCTGCATTATGAATGCACCCCTTCCCTGGCACCTATAGAATGATAGGTGCCCTGGGAAAGAAAGTCAAATGATTCCAATTTTCCTACTCTAGCTGCTTAGATTTTGCCAAGATTAATGTTGGAACTATACTCCAATTACTTTGGATCTTTTACTGGCCCATAGCTAGAGTTATCTTTAAAAAATTCAAATCCAAGTTTGTAGCTTCCTTCTTAAGATTTTTTAGAATGACTTCCCATTGCATTCAATCAGTTTTATGTTTTGGAAAGGACAATCTTGAGATTTCTACTTTCAGTCAAGATGGGGTAACAGGGACTATTTTTATCCTTTCATCTTAAGCAATGAAGAAACAGGGCCTGTTACATGAAACAACATCAGTTTTCAGACATAAGGCAACAAGCAACACAAGGCAGTGATCTTTGAAAGAGATGAAACAAGTGAGGTGAGCACCATAATGGAGCCAGCTGACCGGTGGAAGATGCCTTCAGTTTGCAGCATGGACAGATGGCAACCTAGACAGAGTCCAGTAGTTTTCCGAGTTGGGGAGAGAGAATAGACAATTTAGATGGGCAAGGCAGTTGAATTTACAGGGCAGAGAAACAGGAGAAAGTTTCATGGAAAGCTGGGAAGATCTGTAAAGGCTCCTTTCAGCTGAGGTTTAATCAGCACATGCAGAGAGGAAACCTCAAAGAACTGGTAGACAAGACCACTAAAACAGCTACTGTAAATACAGTCTGTATGTTCATCAACATTTGAGCATTCTACAGAAAGAGACATAATATTAAAAATGATCCAAATCGAAGTTCTAGAGATGGAAACTACAATGTCTGAAATGAAAAATACATTGGATGGGATTAACATCTGACTAGGCACTGCAGAAAAAAAATTAGTGAACTTGAAGACACAGCAACATAAACTAGAAAATTAAACAAAAAACACTGGGGAAAAAACTCCAGTGAGTTGTGAGGATTCAAGTATGTGTGATTGTAGCATCTGGGAAACAGGGAAGAAAGTGGAGTACTGAAAAAAATATTTGAAGAAATAATGGCCAAAGTTTTTCCAAATTTGATGGAAACTATAAACCAAGAATATCAATAACTTCCAAACACAAACACAAGAAACTTGAAGCAAATGACATCAAAGTGCATCATGATCAAATTGCTTAAAAAGTAAATCTTCAAAGAAGGCAGAGGAAAAATGTGCCTTACATAGGAACATAAATAAAGATGAAGGCCAACTGCTCATTGGAAATGGTCCAAGCTATATGACAGAACAGTGAATCTTTGAGGTACTGAAAGAAAATAAAAGTCTGTCAATCTATAGTTTTATACTCAGCAAAATTATTGTGCAGAAACAAAGATGAAATAAAGACATTTTCAGACATACAAAAGCTGAAAGGATATATCACTAACAAACCCACACCATAAGAAATGTTAAGGGAAGACCAGAAAATAGTTACAGGCTATTTGGACCTATGTAAAGAAATAAAGGGCACTGGAAATAATATGTGGGAAAACTTAAAAATCTCTTTAACAGATAGGTGCTTGAAGCAAAAACAATAATGACATATTGTGAGGTTTACAACATTTGGAGAAATAGAATGTGTGAATAATAGCATTAAGGCTAGGAGAGGAGAAATGGAATTATGGTTTTGTAAGTTCCTTATGTTTAACACAAAATGATATACACTACATGTAGAGATATAGGCCTCATGTAGTCTATGACGAGTGAAAGATGTAGATTGTAAACCCTAAGAAGCCAGTAAGATAACACAGCAAAAGGTTATATAGCACATAAGTCAAGAGAAGATAAAATGAAATCATAAAACATACTCAGCCCAAAAGAAAGCAGAAAAAAAAGGGGAACAAAGAATAGATGGAACAAACTTGGAACAAATACCAAGATGGTAAATTAAAACCCAACCATATCAATGGTCATATTCAGTATAAATGGTCTAAACATCCCAATGGGAAGATTGAAATTGCCAGATTGGATTTAAAAAAGTGGGACCCATTCATAGGCTGCCTATAAGAAACTTACTTTAAATGTAAAAACTCAAATAAGTTAGAAGGGCCAATGTGGTAGTCAGAGAAGGGGAAGCTGTTGGGAGGTTTTTGTAGTGGAAGAGCATCAAGGTTAAACTGGAATGACAGTAGTAGAAATGGGATGAGAGAAAATGTGAAAGAGGTGGAATCTCTCAAGACCCTGTATCTGGTCCTGAAGGGTGGCAGGGAGAAATGACTTCTGACTTGGGCCACTGTGCTGGGCCAGTGCTAGTCCCTGAGGTGGTTATCTTAACTAATCAGGTCATCTGGAACTCATGAGGTTTCTGTCACCAAATGGCTTCAGGAACCAGGGGTGGCTTCCTGAGAAGAGAGCACCGGGTGTGAGAGAAGCCTTGACATCCACTCGTCTCTTATCCAGGTCACACCCAGCTTTCAGTGTGATCCTTAAAGAGACTTGTGGGGCTCTTGTGCCCACAATGGTCAAGTTGATGTGGATGCCGTCACCCGAAGAGTGGTGTGAGCTTTTAGTCCCTCTCAGAGGAGGGCAGGTGGGCAGGACAATCCCGGCCCCCAGGACAAAGGTGCCTCCCTTACCAGATTTCCTGTGGCCGTCCCTGGCATAGTTGCTGGGGACCATGCTGAGGCGTTTTCCCTTTGCCTCCACTCCATAGAGCATTTGGTATATGACAGGGTCTCCGTCCCTCTGGTGGCTTTGCCCCAAGGCCTTGGAGGAGAGCAGGAGAGAAGTTACATGCGGGGGAACGGTATCTAGCTTGGCCTCTTCCACCTGTAAAAGGGGCCATTCCAAGGGTTTGCTGCAAGGTAGGCAAAGGGGCCAAAGGAGAGATGCGCCCTGGGCCCTGGGCAGGCTGGGGATGGGAGGGATGGTGCACCAGTGCCCGCTTGCCAGCTCCTCACCTCCATTCCCTGTGTCTCAGGGGCGCAGTGAATGGCCACAGAATCCACTGCCCTAGGGGCAGTTAGGGCTGGGAGTTCCCATCCTTCCAATGGCATTCCTGAGTGGCCTGGGCGAGGGGTGTGAGGAGGAGGGCCTGGCACCCGGGAAGCTGAAACGACTACAGGAGTGTGGGTGGGACGGTGTGATGGGCTGGAGCTGATGTGTGAACAGGCACACAGGGTGGGGCTCCTTGAGGTGGTAGTGTGGGGCAGTGGGTTTCAGAGTCTTAAATAAATAGCCAGGCACTGCAGGAGTGGAGTGGGTACCCCTTCTCAATGCGGGGAGCCTAGCGAGGTGGGTGTGGGGAGTGGTGGGGTTACCGGCTCAGTGAATGCCACCTGGCGGGTCCCTTCCTGCTGTTTCAGGATGCTTCTGGCTTTGGCTTTCTTTTCTTCCTTCCCAGTTGCTTTAGGGTCTGTCGTCACTTTGGGTTTGCACTTCTGAAAGGAAGGGAGGAGAGCGCTGTGACCGCCCTGGTGGGCATGGATCACCCTGTGCCCGCAGGGAAACAGCTCTTTGTTGAGTGGGCCACACCTCCGCTCCCCTGGCTCCCGTGCTCCGTCCCTGCCTCCTGTCCTGCCTGCAGGCACGTCCTGGCATCCATGTCACCCTGCCCCCAGGACAGCCTTCTAAACCCCAAGTGTATGTGTCCCTGCCCACCTCAAAATTCAGCACTGGCTTTGTATCACTCAGCATGCAAGGGATGCCCTTTAGCCTTCCATCCCCCAATGGCCTTTCTAGCTGTGACTTCCCAACACAGCCTACAGTCTGGAACCACTGGAAGACCTCCCTGTCTTTCATCCAGCCAGGACTCTCCCTCTGTCCCCAGAGGCCCCCAACTTCTCACCCTACCCACCCTGTTTTCCCAGAGCTGTCATCACAATCCATCCCATCTTTCTCTTTTCCCAGGTGTTCCTCTTAACCCCTTGAGGGCCAAGCATATGGGCCTTGAGTGGACTTGCTTGTGCGTGCACCTGGCCTTCTACTCCTGCAGGGCAAGCAGGGAGCCCAGGGTCCAGCAGGGGAGGGGCCCACGGAGGCGCCTCCAGGCCAGTCTACAGGGAGTGGGAGGTGCTGAGGCATCTCAGGGAAAGCCGAGCCGACTGGGTCTCCTGTCGGTTGTGCTGTTTGTGGGTGTGGTGAGGCCGTGGCTGCATGCCAGCTCATCATCCGGGTTAGAGTCCTCCTTTGTTGTTGAGTGGCTGAGGGGCTTCTGTTATCTGTGTGGCTCAGTTCCCTTATCTGAAGATGGGGATGATTGTAGGCTCTACCTCCTAGAGTTGTGAGAAATAAATGAATCGCTGTGTGGACATATCAGGTCCTCTGTGAATGTTGGCACTGTTTTGTGGGATGGAAGGAGGGTTTTGATAAGCCAGCTGGGGATGTGGAAGGAGCTGTCCAAGGGCATGCTTAAGGCCATCTAACTAGGAGATTTAGTTGACTTCAGGGTTTTGTTTGGCACAGAGGGAGATGGGGTGTAAGTTAGGTCAAGGGCTAAATTTTCAGGTTGAGAGGGAAGGCTGAGGCCAGCTTCTCCAGAGGCGGCTCTGCTCCCACTCCCCCTGCGACCTGCAGTGTCTCCTCAGGAGTCACCGAGTAGCTCCCTGCCCTCATTCTGGGAGGAAGCTTAGTGGAATTGATGTGGTGATAACACAGACCAAACTAACTTCTGCTGACTCAGTGTCCCCTGTGGCTGACACCTCAGACCTCAGTCCCCTTTGACGACAAATGGATCAGCAGGGCACAATGCACTGGGCAGCGCCATAAGCTAGGCTTAAATGGAGCAAGGCCTGGACTGCCAGAAGAAGGGTGTGGACGCCGCAGACAACCTCCCTCCAGCCATCTTCACTAAAGGGTCCTCCCGCCATCTCTGCTGTCTGAGGCCTGCCACGGAAGCATCCCCCTTTTTCAGGAGCTTCTTTCAAACCCCAAATAATTTTGGGAAGGACAATGATGCTTGCAGATTTAATTGTTTTTTCAATTTAAATTTGTTCCCTCCCTGGGTCTAAAATTATTTCCAATTAAAGCCACATAAAGGGTAAATTGTGAACACATTATTAGAATATAATCTTTGTGAGGAGAGATGGGACCAAACACATTAATCCTAGCAGTGAATATAACTTCTGGGATTGACACTGAGTTCTGAGCAACCTGGGAGTTAAACTTCTACCACACCCTGAAATATGGGGGTGGGGAGTGGATAGGCCATCTGTAAATCATTAGCACCTCAATGTAAAATATGTTTTTCACTAATATGTTATCAGGTAAAATCAGTTATGTGTTAAAATGTCTGATGAAACTGGCACTCCAGAACTTTCTGACTATAAATGATTAGTAAGCACATAAACAGAATGGGAGCTTTCGTGAAAGGCAAAGGGTATTGAACTGTGTGAAGCAGAGAGAGTGGAAGGAGTGTGAAGGAGTTAGCCTGATGAAGCCCAGGAGCTTGGGAACTGGGTAAGTCTGAATTTGAGCCCCAGCTTGGCCCTTCATTATCTAAGTGAGCACAAGAAAATTGCTTTCCACTTTTCTCAGCTTCCTTATGCTTCAGCTGGGGAGTAAGAGTGGTTTCTACTTTGTAGTCTTGTTGGGGACAGTTGACAAGATAACTCATGTGCATGCTAAGCACAGGGCCTGCCACATGAGAAATGCCTAACAAGTTAGCATTATCATTAGTAATGGCATTTTTTGCCCATTTTTCTCTGGAGGCTGGGAAATTCAAGATCAGGTGGCATCCTCTGCTGAGAAGAGCAATTTCCAAGGATATGGCTTGATTTTATGTAGATGATAGGCCCAGGGTGGGGCACTCGGGGGGTGGGGCAAAGAAACTGAAGCAAAACTAGCTGTTATAGTTCCTGGAGAAAGAGAGAAGATGGTGCTATAGACTGAGTGTTTCCCGCCAAATTCTTATTCTGAAATCCTAACTCCCAATGTGATGGTATAAGGAGGTAAGGCCTTTGGGAGATGGCTAGGTCATGAGGATGGAACCCTTGTGAATGGGACTAGCGCCTTATAAAAGCGGCCCCAGAATGATCCCTCACCCCTGCCACCACATGAGATACAGTGAGAAATCAGCCATCTGTGAGCCAGGAAGCAGGCTTTGCTCAGACACCAATCTGCTAGTGCCTGGATCTTGGATTTTCCAGTCTCTAGAACTGGGAGAAATTAATCTCTGTCATTTATAAACCACCCAGTGAATGGTATTCTGCTATAGCAACCCACATAGACTAAGATAGGAGGGTTAGAACTAGTTCTGATGCAGGCTAGAGAAGAGTTGTGTTAGTAGGAGTCTCGGCAGGGCATAGTGGCAGCAGAGCGCAAATGCCTTTTGACTCTGGAGCCACCACAAGGATGGAAGTGCTTGGGGACACTGGAAAGGATCCATTCTGCCAAGATCACAATCTATTGCCCTAAACCCTTCTCAAAACTGACCAAGACAGCTTGAATAGCCTTCTGTTCCCCTCACTTTGATGAATAGATGGGTTTCTTCCTGACTCACAGGCCAGACCTCCCTTTTTTCCTTTAGTTAACTTGCACTTGTAAATTCTTTCTCTCTCTCTTTGACATGAAAATCTTCTCCTGGCCTCTTGCCATTTTTCAATCCAGGAATGTTTTTCACAAGGTATAGGGGCTTTTGAAATGTCATTCTCAAGAAAAACAGCACCCCTGCCTTGCAGTCTCTGTGGAAGGGTAGGAGCCTAACTATGTGAGTGACACAGATGGTCTAATCACAGGGACAACCTTCCCCAGGTATCCTCTAGTGCTTTTCTGCTAATTCCGCACAGTGCTTAAAACTTTTAACTCTTGCCCTTTGTTTTTTGTAAGTTGAGTTCAGTCTCTCCCTATTGCAATTGTCTTAAGTCTTCCTTGCGATTTTTCTCTGACAGTACATACCTGGAATGGTGGCTTCTTCTTGCCTTGCCTCCGCTCCTGCCACTGCAACACCCACGTGAGGTCAGACATTCGCCTCTCCTCTGCAGTCCTCCATGTGGACTTCCTTTCTGTGGGCATCAAACCCTTCAGGTCCTCTGATTTCTCTGACATTATGGTTGTGCTTTGGGTGGGAAGGTGGTACCCTCTCATTTCACTGGTCCCTCTGTGTCTAGCTGCTGGAGTCGATGACTCAGACTGTAAGGTATAGTCTCTGCATGGGAACATATAGGGCAGAGTTAGGCCAGCAGCTGGGATATTGGTCTTAAGAGGTGGGATGTCTAGAGGGTGATTATGAGGTCACTGTGAGGCTGGCCCCTAGGGTCATAGTAGAGAGGGGTGCTGGCTTCTCTATGTGGCCACTGCCCCTCTTAAGTCAAGTTCTTCCCCTTGATTCCAACATGGTTTTCTTTATGGCCTCTCCACTCCACTTCCATAGAGATCTTACTAAAACAAAGGTCAGTTCATGTGTCTTCCTTTCTCAAAAAACTTCATTGTCTCCCTGTAGCCTATAAAAAATTTTAATTCGTTGGTTTGGCATTGACTTTCCACACTGTACTCTAATTTGAACAAAAAATTTTATAGGCTCAATTACTGTCATATTCATTGAACAGATAGTTACCAGGTTCCTACTGTGTGCCAGGAGTGGTGCTGGGAATATAATGCAAGATGAAAACATAATCAGACATCCTGAAACACATGGGCTAGTGGGAAAGACAAGACAGCAGTTAAATATTCTCTGAATCCATACTGACAAATGAAGATGATGTTCTGAAGGAAAGGAATATAATTCTATGAACTAGACAAAAGAACTAGACTTGGTTGGGTGGTAGGTGGGTCACCACTCTCCCGAGCTTCTAGCCATAGGGTAAGTAGGCCTCAAAGGGCTCTGGGTCAGAGGGATGAATGTGAGGAAGGCCCTGTGACAGGATGGAAGCAGGGCACACCTGAAGGCCAAAGTGGCAAGAGTAACAGGAAATGAGAAGTGATGCTGGCAGAGCCCAGATCAAGACTTTAGAGGTCACAGTTTTGCTCAGACTGGGAAGGAAAGGGAAAACAATAAAGGGATTTAAACAGAGGGGAGGGAATGACATGATCAAGCTTCCTTTTTGTTTTAGTAAACTTTTATGGAAGAAAATTTTATTTATAGAAATGTGCCAGAACCACAAATGAAGACTCTGTGGAATTAGTACCCAGAATTCCCCTTTCTGGCCCCTGCTAGTCACTACTTCCCTTCAAGGGTAAACACTTTCCTAATTTCATAGATTTGTTCTGTCTGTTTGAGCTTTCTATAAATGGAATCATACATATGTAGTCTCTTGTATCTGGCTTTATTCATTTTATAATGCATTTGCAGGATGTTAGCAATGAATGCTTTTAGTCTTCGTGTGTGTGGCAATGTCTTTACGTTCATTTTTTGAAGAAAGATTTGATGGATAATAGAATTCTTGATTAACAGTTTTTTCAGCACTTTGTATATATCATTTCACTGCTTTCTGTGCTCTATTGTTTTACATGGAAATCAGCTGTTAATCATATTGTTGCTCCCCTGTACATATGAGTCATTTTTCTCTTGCTGATTTTTCTGTTTTTGTCTTTCAAACATTTGCTATATATGTCTAGTGTGGATCTCTTTGTATTTATTCTACTCCTGGTTTGTTGAACTTTTAGGATACATATTTAATATTGTTCATCAGAGTCTCAAAGATCTTAGCCATTGTTTCTTCCATTATTTTTTCTGTCCCTTTCTCTTTCTATTTCTGGGACTCCCATTATACATCTGTTGACATATTTCAAGTTGTCCCACTGGTCGCTAAAACTTAGTTGATTTTTCTTTGATCATTGTTTTCTCTGTTCTTCAGATTGGATGATTTCTATCAATCTATCTTCAAATGTACTGATTCTTTCCCCTGCCACGCTGAGGCCACCCTCGGCTCCCTGTAACATGTGCCTCTCCATAAGGAAGATCACGACATGACAGATGCTTCATCAGAAGAGCAAGACAGAACCAGCAAGAGAATGAGATATAATCTGCTGTTGAGTCTTTCTAGTAGAATTTTAATTTCAATTTTACTTTTCAACCATGGAATTTTCCTTTTTTTTAAAAAAAATTTCCATCTTCTTACTTAGAATCTTTTCTAATAAGAGATTCATTGTCATATTTTCACTTAAAATTTTGAACATGATTCAAAATTTTAGTTCTTTGACCGTATTTATAATAATCATTTGAAGGTTTTATCTGCTAAGTCCAACATCTGGGAATACTGAGACACTTTTTATTGATAGCTGTTTTCCTGAGTATGTGCCACATTTTCCCATTTCTTTGCATGCCTGGTAATTTTGTGTTGAAAACTGAACATTAAAGACATATTGTAACAGCTTTGGATTCAGATCCCTCCCCAGGAGTTATTGTTGCTGTTTTTTTCATGGTTTTATTGTTTAATAACTTATCCAGGCTCTATGAATCAGAGAATCCTTATCTGGGAATCCTATCTTCACAATGGTGTGAAGATGCTGAAGTTTCTGATTAAATTTTTGTATTCTTGTTTTTATATTTAATTTTAACTTCCTAAGCATTGTCTCTGTGTCTGCATGTCAGATTGTACAGAGACTGTGCTCAAACACCTCAAACCCATAAATTATCTTTCATCCACTGATGAATCTGTTTGTGGATAGGGGTGCTGTGTCCGTTATCTTATTGCTACATGAAAAATCATTCCAAAGGAAAAATGGCTTACAACAACAAAACATTATTGTCACACAGTTTCTGTGGGTCAGCATTCTGGGTGTGCTTTAGCTGGGCCCTTAGACTCAGGCTAAGATCAGGGTGTTGGGGCGGTTACAGTCACCTGAAGGCTTGACTGGGGAAGGATCTGCTTCAAAGCCCCTCATCTGGTTGTTGGCAGGATTGGGATCTTGGTAGGTCACTGAACCGAGTTCTTTCTTTGCTGAATGTTGGCAGAAGGCAACCTTCAGTTCCTTATAACATGTACTTCTCCATAGGAAAGCTCATAACATGACAGCTTGCTTCATAAGAGTAGCAGGGAAGAAACCAGAGACAGAATGAGAGCAAGGCGGAGGTCAGTCTCTTATAACCTAACCTAATAACCATGTTCTATTTATTAGAGGCAATTCACTGAATGCAGCCTGCACCCAAAGGGAGATTATAAGGCACTAATCCTAAGAGGTGAGGATCATTGGGGGCCATTTTAGAAGCAAACAATCTCAGGAGAACATTTAAAGTTTCCAGGCCATTTTCATGTGTTCCCTTTTATTTTCATCTGAGCTCTTTCTTGTCTCCTTTGCACACATGCACAGCCTCAGGGTTGGCCAGGAGTGTGTGGCTAGATTGGGGTTTTTCTAGTTTCTGCAGTGCATGCATGCAGCATTAGCCAGAAATGTGTTTGCCCCAACCGCAACTGCAACCTCAATCTTGTGGAGTTATTGGTTCTCCTGCATTCCTGCTTTAGAGATTTTCACTTAGGCCAACAAGGCTGCTGAGAGTGCGTGCTGCTCTCTGCTCCAAATCCAGTGATCCCCTTTTAACCAGAACAGAGAAATTGTCCCCCACTGGTGGAATTCCCTGCTGACTGAGCTGGGAGGAGGGGATGGGAGCAATCTCAGGCTAGAATGCCACAGATTCTCAATGTTGTTTTCCAAATTTCCACAGTTTTCAAGCACAAATGTTGCTCCAATTGTTGTATCACTTTGGTTGAGGTCTAGAGTGCTGTAGGGTTGTTTTGATCAATTTTGTCCAGCTCTATAAATTCTTTTTGGGGAGAGGATTTAGATAGCTACTCACTTAGCCAAAGGTGTAAGTCTCCTGCCATTGCACTCTTTATATAATGCATTTTGTAAGACCCCCTTTGCTATCTTGAAATAATATTCATATATAACTTAACCTATTTGCATACACATATTTAAAAAATTTTCATAATCCTTCAAGCAAATATAAAGGAGAAAAAATTTAAAATATATTCTCCCTTTGGATATATTTCAATATTTTAATGCTTGGTCACCACTAAACTAGAAGGCAGGCCCCCAGATTTTCCAAACACCTCTTAAGGATTGGAATAACCTCACTGAGAACCAATGAAGTAATCAATTATAATCAATCAAGCATGGTTGGGGTGGGTGGAGGCAGACAGTGTACAGTTGGTGGTCTGTCCATATTCATCACTCAGCAGGTGTTGTGAGTTGGAGAGGCAATGATCCAGGGGCATCAATACAGCAAGCAGGTGAGTGAATGGACAATACATAAGGCTCTCAGGCCTCTTCACCCCAGGTTTCTCTTCTCCAGATCTGCAGTAAGATCTGTGGCCACATGTTTTTAGAAGCCTTATCTGGGTGGGTGGGTTGAGGGGAGGGATTGGATTGCTAGAACTCTACTTTGTGAACATGAGCATTAGTGCTTTCCTAAAGTTGACAGCCATCATTATCGTTTTGAAAGAGACAAGAGGCCAGGCTACCTAGGCTCTTGAGGCTCATCTTGAGGGACAGGAGGGAATTCATGTTAAGGAACATTTATGGATGTATCTTGATGTCAAGTACCATGCTGAGCACTGAGGGAAGAGGATACAGAGATTAAGTAGTGTCGTGCTCATGGAGTTTACTATTTCCCTGGGGAGACACCTACGAAGGCTGTTGGGCACTGTCCTGTTGAGACATTCCCATGCTCCAACTGCCCCCCTTTGTGGTTTGGGTGAGTAACCACCAATTCTATTTGAGAGAAGGAACCAGGTTGGTCTAAGTAATCAATACACAGTCCTTCCCAGACTACTTTGGTGCAAGAGGGACCCAATCAGCATGCAGCTGGGAGCTTTTGCTAGGAATGTGAGGAAACAGACTCCCACTTGTTGAATGGTGGGGCATGTGGTTGTAAAGTCTGGAATGGTGTTATTCATTTCACTCTGGTAAGGAAGAGAAGCTGCCATCAGTATGAACTCCATTCAAAGAGCAGGGTGGAACCAAGAGACTCACTGAACAACAGAGCCAGTGTCTGAGCTTTTCATACTTTTAATGTGTAACTCAGCCTGACTTGTGTTTTCTGTTACCTGCAACTGAAATCTTTGTGATACAATAACTAATACAGGGGAGATGGTAACAGTGCAATA